AACTATATCTAACAATAATGAACATGTTATTTCCCTTATTTGATTTCAAACAAAATAATTAATTACTAATAATTAATTGATTAATTGAGTATTTTAGTTTATTGATTCATGGTTTGTTAGGTACAATAATTATTGTTTCAAGTATCTACTTGATCAGAGAATACATGAGGGAGAAATAGCATTAAAAATTATTAGGGTGAGGGTTAGACTAAACCTAAGAAATTTTGCCTAATCTATGAATACCAAAGTATTAGTTTCCCTTGTTGGTATTAAACAAAATAATTAATTACTAGTAATTAATTGTCTAATTGTTTACTTTAAAAAAAATTAATCATGTCTTGTCTATGCTAATAAACAATTTTGCGAAGTTTCAACTTGATCTGAGAATGGGTGTGTGAGAAATAACATGTACACACTTTTTACCAAACAGACAGAGTGAGTTAAAATGAGCTCTGTAAAAATTGAACTTCTTCTAAGTTCACTTTTTAAGCTTAGCTAAGTGGCATCTAGCTTACTTTCTTATGTGAATGAAGCATTCAAGTTTAAAAAATATTTTTAGGGAGAAATTGCATTAACAATTATTAGGGTGAGGGTTAGACTAAACCCAAGAAATTTAGCCTTATCTCTGAATACTGAAGTATTAGTTTCCTTGTTGGTATTAAACAAAATAATTAATTACCTGTAATTAATTGACTTTTTGGTTACTTTTTGTTTATTGATTCTATGCCAATGAATAATTTTGCGAACTTTAAACTTGATCCGAGAAAGGGTTAGGAGAAATAACACATACATTATTTTACCAGAGAGACAGACTGGATAGACAGACAGACAGACAGAGTTAATATATACTTTGTAGAAAAAATATAACTATAAATCAGGGGGAAAGATGTTAATAAAAATTGTGTAGCCGTAAATGTTAATAAAACAAATTTTATAATTTTGAGTCATCTAAGTTTTGGTCTCAATGGAAGAGACATCTACCCTCTAACACCTGTGTTTTTTAACTTAAATGTAAAGCAAGTTGGCGCCTTAAGAAGTCCTTCTATACTGTCTATACTGACAGACAAGAAAATGCCTGGTCAAATGTTGCTTCAGAACGAGAAAGCTGGTGGTCACTTACAAAGGCCGTGGAATAAAAATTTTCGGCCTCGCACTGGAGGAGGAACCCATGCCGTTGGCTTAAGGGACTGTGTCACATGACCAGATGGATGTGAATAAATGATCATCTAGTCGCAGGGGGACTCCAGACAGAGGGGTCAGTGAAGAGCAAACTCATCATCATGGCCACGGGATAAAATCCTTTCCTGGGTCACATGGTTTATAAAAGGGATGCAGATCATCTAGCTTACTTTCCTATGTGAATGAAATATTCAAGTTTCAAAAATATTTTTGTTACTGTGACACAAATGTAATTGGCTGTAGTTGTGCAAGCTACCCGAAGCATAGTCAGTGTGTAATGTAACTCCTGTACACATTCTCAGAGTACTGTGTAATCAGGGCTCATGCTATTGATGAACTGGTCAATTTTCATATAATACTTTCATAAACTAGAATGCAGTTTCATTTGATCAAACCCATTAATAGCAAGACTTTGTTATTTAAAATAAAATTTGTCCAAATCTCCCATGAGCATCTGTAATATAGTTATAATTATGTGTGTCTTTATTATAAAAAAAAATTCTAATATATTTATGTTGATCATGAGGCCCACTGTAACAAAGTTTGACAGAAAAAGCCAAAAAAAAACCAACTTAGAAATGCATCAGCTCATTAATTCTAACAATAAATAAGAACCGATTTTTTTATTTCAAAACACACATTCCTGGCATCTATTTATGTTTTACATGTTGAGTGCAGTAAAGTTTAAACTTGTTTTTAAGCCTTGAAAAAAAGGGTTAAGCTCTTTGTACTTTCTTTTTCTTTTAAAGGTTAAAGTTTTTAAATATAAGTTGTCTCAAAGTGAGGATATACCTGCGTCTGCTAGGATAATGTTATACCTGCGTCTGCTAGGATAATGAATTACTGATCCATGGCTTCCACTGAATATTGTGTCAGTTGCAAATATAGTCTTCGTTATGGGATGGGATGGTATGTGTGCTTGAGATGCTAAGTACACTTGAACTTGGCTTGGCTTGGCTACCTATGAAAGGGATTCGAGGTTCGACACCCGACTGGAGCAGATTTGTGTTTACTGAGCGCCTAAAGGCAGTACCGAAAAACCTTCTCCCAGATACCCCCTTCCCCCACCAGTCCACAAATAAGATTGGACCATAGTGCTCTGAGCTGCTATAAGCATGAAAGTAGTGCTATATAAAAGCTATAATTTATTTTTAGTATTATAATGTATTGCCAGGAAACATTATCATGATGGTCTTCCTTGTTATCCTCCTCATGTTAAATGCATTATCATAAAAATATTTTCCAAAATTTTGTTAGTTCAATTGAAAAACTATAATACAAAATAGTTATTGATCACATAACTGAAAGGAAAAAAAAAATTCAGAAAAAAAAATTTCTTGAAAGTTTTTTTTTTTTGCTGTGATAGTCTTAGTTGATTTAATTCATTTCATACAATTTGAGTGACAGCTCTGGCATATTTGTCTTCAATTTTAATTTATGAATACAATATAGCTATCTTGTGCTATAAAAATAGTTTCAAGTGATTATTACTATAACTGTCGCACACATAAATTGCTCTCTATTTTGTGTGTGTGTCTTACCAGCCGTGACAAGTTGGAGTCGGAAGAAATTGTTGCTGATCTTGTTCACTGTTTCCTGATTCCCGAGGCCAAGAAACAGACAGTGCGAGAAAAAGGTGAATAAGTAACTTAGTTTTCGGAGAGGGGGTTTGTGTTACTGCTTTTAAGGTGAATTGAGCTCTTTGGGTTGTCCCCCAAAGGTTTAATAATATATATAATTAAGTTTATAATATGGAGTATTTTAACATCTATGTTTGTAAGGTTACAAGTTAAACTTAAGAAAGTAATTTAGTTGTTTTTTTTTTTGTTTTTTTTTGGGGGGGGGGGGGGGGGGGGGTACTGCTTTTGAGGTGAAATGAGCTCTTTGGGTTGTTACCCCTAAGGTTTAAGTGAATCTAAGAAATTATATATAATTATGTTTATAATATGGAGCATTTTAATATTTTAACATCTATGTTTGTAATGTATAATGTAATATAAATTAATCTTTCTCTTTTTTTTTTTAATTTCTTAAAATTCCTCTAAATATACATTTTTTAAAAACTGTTTTGAGTAATTAAAAATTAAAACAAATATATCTTTGCAAAGTTCACTGCCATGTTTATAGGGACATCATTACTAGTGTTAACTGCATAAAGGGCCTACTTTGTGGTTTTTACTCAACTACTTTTCTAGTTTGTTTTTTTTTGGGGGGGGGGGGGGGGGGGGGATCTGTAGCATTATTGATAACAATATTTTTCAAAAGCTAAACTTATTCTAATTATGAGTTTCAATGTTGCTAAAAAAAAGTTGATATTCTAAACCAAATCCTTTTAGGTTGAGCTTTAAGTGGTAAAACGCCATGAATCGCAAAGTCTGAAAGGGGGGGGGGGGGGTAATTTACTTTTCCTGTACCCGGTCATTTAACCAATGGAGATGTGTTCTACAAAATATTCGCTAAAAAGTGAAGGACTGGGACTTAGCTAAACTAGATAATAAAACATTTCATCTAAATTTTGTAATTAAAAAGTGACATTTCATTTTGAAATTCATAAATTTCTGCATAAATTGTTAAAGGAAACTATCATATAGGTTTTTATGGACTATTTCTTTTTTTCAGTGAGACGAACTCAAAGAAGATTTCTATTAGCTGCCCACAAAGAAATTCACAAGGAAGGAACCGATCTCATTGCACAGAATAATAAACAAAAACTTTTAGAAGCTGACACTAAAATGTCTATTGGTCAACAAAATTCAGAAGAAACAGAACAACAGCCAAATGAGCCTCAGTAAACTCATCATTTATTGAGAAAAAAAATTTTTTTGCTTAATCATTTTCTGATATTTTAGAAGATGATAGACTTAGAAGAAATTTAGCTTGGTGGTTTGTTTTTGTTGAATAATTTCTAATTTACACACAAAAAAAGTTTGGCTTTGTAGTCTAAAAACAAGTGAATAATACTGAAATGTTTTTAGTCAATAAATAAATGGCATCTGTGCTAAACAAAAGTTTTTATATCATAAATAAAATAAGTTTAGTATAATGACAAGGAATGAGCAGTCCTTGGAGTTATTAAAAATCTTTTATCATTGAAAAACTATTTCTAATTATCCTTTACTTTGTACTTTCTACATGTCAGAAGGCATAATACGACAAAGCTAACAAAATGTAAATCATTGTTTTGATCAATTATATTTTGAGAAGAAATCCTCACTGTAAGACATGCTTGATTTTATTACTTTTTATACACACTTTAAACGAAAATATTTATAACTTTAAAGTTTTACTTTCTTAAAGTTTATACTAACTACTATGTTAGTCATATTTATATAATATATTTCAACAGTGTAAATATACATAATTATTTAGGTCATGTCTTGGTCTGAAATGTTTACTCAATCAAGTTGGACACTTTCATGTTCAGATCTTGGCGGCAGAATATACACAGACATTAATATACACATGCTATATAAGGTTTTTAGTATGTGGAAAAAAAAAAATTAATGTTTTTTATTTTCACTCTTAAAAGACATTGTTATTGGTCTTTCTGTTGCTGTGTGTGTTTTGTTTGTTGGTTTTATTTCAAAGTACAATAAACTGTTGGTTAACAAAAATGTAAACAAAGCCAGTATTTGCTATCAGAAATTATACATTCAAACCTTGAAATAGAAAAATAGAAGTTCTGTTTTTTTTAAAGCCAAACTAAACTCTCCAGCAATGAAGGTTTTTTACCCAGTTTGATGTTGAAATTTAGCTATTTGAAATATCTGTACTGGACGTCACAATTTTAAATGTTATATTTAAACTCAGTATAAGGGTTTGTAATGTAATAAAGGCTTCAAGTTGAAACTTGTTGCAAATATTTTTAATAAAAATGTAAATGTAAAGTTTTAGAAATTACACAGTACAATTACAAAAGCAACATAAATTAATAGTGATAATAGTGATGCAATTAAGTTGTGGGGTGGAACATGTATACCATATACACTTAAAACTTAATGAATGTTCATTAAAGTATTTCACTTAGCCTACAACTTTACTCAAGAAACTCAGAATTTTACTGTAATAAATACATGTTATCTTTTAAACAGCATTAAAAGCATCTAACTAGAAAACATTGATCATGAGGTCACTGAACTTACCTAAAATTTATTTGAAAACATTGATTTATGAATATCATTGATTTTATAAATCAGATATATCATAATGAGATTTAATTGTAAGTAAGAACTTTTCTTATATATTTTTTTAGTTACTTCATCTATGAAAGAAGATTTCATGCATCATTGCTCAAGCTTAAGAGTTCATTGTTAGTAGGATTTGAACCCTTGATTTATGTGTTAAAAATCCAAAACATGTATGACTAACCAACTATCCATCTTTCATTGAGAAATCTGTAGTTTCATATCTTATATATTACTTCTCTAACATCCTGGCATTCTTTTTTTGTTTAAGCTCATTTCAGGTTGGAATGGGTTAAAGTAACATATCAGAAAGAAACAAAATTCAAATCTTTTAACTTTTATTTATATTAGTACACCATGATATAAGGTTTCAATTTTTTAAGATGATGATCTGAAATATTTAGTTGTAAGTACTTTTGTATCTTTGTCAACATTAACTCCTTATTTTCTAGATTGACTCAAAATCTTTTATATAAAAGCTTTTTTAAAGCAATTTTTGCTTCTTCAAATTTATTTGTTCTTAAAAATTACAAAACACAGTAAAAGTTTCCATACATTAAGAAATTGTAGAGTTTTGAACATATAGTATTCTTTATAAAAAATTATACACACTCTACATACTTGATAAATATTTACTACTGCTAGGTGTGCTTGTATTTTTTTTTTTCTACTTTTAAATAAAGATCGGTATAATTCAAATGTTTATTTCATTTTGATCTGTAACAAATGTATTTACTTACTTGTCAATTGTAATAACAACTTTGGCCTTAGAAGACTAAAAAAAAAAAAAATTGAGTTGTTTAGCATTGGAGGCTGGTTTTATATTAAATAATGTACACTTCATCTTATGTACAATGATATTTACAGTTTCAGCGTCTTTTGTTAACCATTCTTCTATTGTTGTAGACGTTGATGTAAATAGTTACTTACATTAAAGCTCAGTGAAAGGAAATTTTGTTTTCATTTTGAGAATACAATTATTAAATACAGAGAAGAGCTTACTAAAGTTTTGGTACTTGAAAATTTAAGTGGTAGGCCAAGAGACGGGTTAAAGGTAATTAAGTAATAGGTTTGAAAGCAAATAGGTTTCAGATCTAAAGAAGTGGCAAAGGTAAAAAAAGTGGGTGGTCAAAAGAAGTGGTTAACCTAAAGAAGTCGTTTGTCTAAAAAAGTGGTTAATGTAAATAAGTGTCAAATGTAAAAAGTGGTTGGTCTAAAGAAGTGATAGGTCTAAATAAAGTTGTTAAACTTAAAAATTGTTAAGTCTAATAGGTAACAGTAATATCATTCTTTATGAAAAGGTAAAAGTTAAAAATAATAATTAAAAGCTTAAGAAACTGTTTCTAATTTTTGCATAAAGTCACCTTTATTCCAGTTATTTTGCAATAAGATACCATTGATGTTATCTAGACTTACAGAACAATGCATTCAGAATGAGAATCTTAAACTTTTGGCTTGTTCCTTTTACCAATGTAAAATTCATTAAACGCTCAAGTGTTAAATGTGTGAACACAAAATTTATTATCAACATTTGTTTTACTACAAAAGAAAAAAAAATACAAATAACACCACATTTATAATTATTAATATAAACACACTTCTAATCCATATTTTATTTTTTTGTTTGCTTTTTGTACAAATTTTGTGCAAACAACATTTCACCCGAAAGATTTTGTCAGGATACCACACAATTAGTTTGTTACATACATAGCAGGATACTTGTCTTTGATATTAACATATAAGCAAGAATAATGATGTCAAACTTTTCTTGCTGGACTCAAGACTCAGGGTATCTGTACAGACCTTATATTTATGGTAACATATAAGCAATGTGTAGGTCCTGAATAAAATAAATACATACAAATGAAAGAAAGTAGATCTTTGACAGTTGAAAAGAAACATCTCATTGTTTTCATTGTTATTCATAAATTGCTACAAACTTAAAGTAAAAAAGTTTGCATGCAAATATGTTTTTAATTCCCCTCCCCATTACAACGATTCCACATTTTTATTAAGATATTAATGACAAAATCAATGATCAAGACTCCCTGTTAACATTTGAAATGGACTTAAAATAAGATGATAAATAAACTGCTTGGTAATAAGCACTGATTTTTTAATGCTGTTAAAGGAACTGCAACTCTTATTAAAGTGCTGTACCAAAGAAGGAACTACTTGAGACAATGTATTTTCTTGAAACTGCATCTGTTAGGGGTGAAAAATTTGAGAAATCATTATGTATAAAATAGAAGGTTAATTAATAACTAATTAATGATCTGGTTAGTTTTGTAAGGTTTTTCTTGCTGGAGTGGTAATGGCAACAAACAATCCACTATTGTACAATGCTTCTTATGGCATGTGTTTCATTAGTCAATGAAAATCCAACTCATGGCTTTTGTATTGTGTCCAGTGAAACTGTTATCACTGACAAAAATAGGGTCAAGGCAAGCAACTGGTGCCTTAGCCAGTAAGCTTTGGGCAAGAGGGGCTCATTAGCCTTAGCTGGCGACCCACATAGAAAAGGGAAAAACTCTGAATTGAAACCTTTGCTGCCTTGTAGCTGTGCCCAAACATGGGAAAAGCTTCAGACGTCAACCCTGGGGTCAAATCAGGAGTCTGTGAGCATCAGGCAGCAATCAGCACATAGTACTTTACCCTGGCAGAAACTGCAACACTTCTGAGTCCTAACTGTATCTCGTACATGTCATTCCTTTAGACACATTAGCTGTGTAGAGAGGAGATAAATGCTGAGTGGGCAATATCATTCTGATCATAGCTATTGTCCAATCATTCCATGACTGAAGGAGGTCAACAACAATGATCTAAATATTCAAACTATTGTTATTTTGTTTCTTCTATTATAAAAGCTTACAACAAATTATTTTGGCATTACACAAGCGTGTGATACCTTTACTTTGGTCTGTCTTTTGTTCAACCCTGAGTCTGACTTCCTGTTGCCTGTTTAACCGCTAAAACCCCCAACAGCTTCTGTACCAAGGCACTAAGATCTTGTGTGCCCATGTTATTCAAGTCTCCACTAGCTTGAGGTGTAGGCGTCACCGGCGTCTGCTGGTAGTCATACATGTAAATGTTGGGAGGAAGTGCTTCTGTTGGACACAAATGAAACATAGTTGGTTTAGTTAAAATAAAACAACAAAAACTTAAGATTATTGCTGTAATGGTTTGAACTAGACATTTCTAAAATATATACCTGCTAAATAAGAAGAACAGAGCTGTGAATTCTATCAGAGATAAACTTAAGGGACAACTTAATCAGTAATGAATAAAGAATATACATTGTAGGACAATTAGATCAATCAAAGGTCTCCTAACACTTGAAAATTATAGTATTACACAAGAAAATAAACTAAGATATAATAATAAACAAAAAAACTTGGCCTTTTCAGGCATATTTCCTTACAGGGCATGTACCGAAGGGTGAAAAACATTGATATGCACAAATAAAGTGAAAGAAAACATTAAAGATGTACAGTTAAGTTCTTATCTTTCTGAGATTCCTGTGTGATATTTCATTATGTATTTAGGACTAGCCAGGAAATATTTTAATGTATGTAAAACTTACCAAGCTTTTTATGATACATGTAATGACTTCAATATTCATAGACATATATGTGTGTCTGATAATTATGTCAATGTATGTATGACTGACTAGACTTTATTCTAATGTATGAAGAAACTTTATTATGATGTGCGTATGACTGACTAGTCTTTATTCTAATGTATTTAAGACTCAAGAAACTTTATTATGTTTATATGACTAACTAGTCTTTATTCTGCTAGGCCTATATTTATGAATGAATAGACTTTATTCTGATGTATTTATGAATGAATAGACTTTATTCTGATGTATTTATGACTGACTAGACTTTATTATGATGTATTTATGACTGACTAGACTTTATTATGATGTATTTATGACTGACTAGACTTTATTATGATGTATTTATGACTTATGATGTTTGTGCAGTTGAATTATGATACATGAGTGGCTGTGTTTTTGATTTAGTATGATTGTAAGACGATGTATGCACTGCTGTATGTATGAATTTTTAGATGTATGTATGCTTATATGATGATGACATTTTGATGGTGTATTGATTAAATTTTATATGTATGCTTAATTGCTTATATGATGATGACATTTAGATAGTGTATGTATGAACTTTTAGATGTATGTATCCTTATATGATGATGTCATTTCGATGCGAAGCTATATTCAAATGTATGACTGTTTGATCATGTATATGCTTACTATGATATATGAGTGCTTGATAATGTTATGCTTAGTTTACTGCAAGACCAATGCATGACTGTACACAGACGTATCTATATACCTGATGTTGTTTTTGTCTGAGTAATCTCTTTATTCACTCCAATGAAACCTGCCAGGAAATCTCCATTTCTTCCCGGTGGTGCTTGTGTTGTGGTTGTTGGGGGAGGTGGTGTCTCACCTATTTCAAAATAAAACCATTAAAAGACCATTGCTAAACTTTAATAGAAAAGTCACAGCAACAAAGTCTGAAGAGTCCATTGATCAAACTTATAATCTGAATAACTGAAATCAAACAGTAGTTCAAACTCAAGAGAGTCAATGAGGTATATTATGATGAGGTGGTTGAAATTCTTGAAGAAATATTAGATCAAGGTCTACACTCCAATTCCGGAGTCAAAGTAGGCTACAATTTAATTTTGGGATTATAATAGTCACTTATTAGTGTAATACCTAGATCTATAATTCTTCCCTCACAAAGTAAAAACAACAAAAAAACTAAATCATTTTATAAAACAATAGATTGATATTAATACTTGTAACAGCACTTTGTGTGTGCAGTAGTGAGTAGACTAAATACTTTTAGTAAGAGTAATTTATAGACTGACCCATAAATGCAGCTAGAGGATTCAATGAGTCATAGGTGCCTGTGTTGGTAGGTATCTCACTGAAATCGTTGCTACGGAACTCGTTCTTTGGCCCCAGAATAAAGTCGTTGAGCCTGTCACTTACGAATCCAGAGCCTGTTGGTGCTGGTGGGGGCTTCGTTGTAGCCTTTGGCTTGGGTTGCTGGGCTAATGTTGCCCCATTGCCTGAACAAAAAAAAAAGTTTCATTGTATAACATAAAGAATAAAATGTTTTACATACAACGTTTTCATTACTATTCATATGTAAAGTAAAAAAGTAAAGTTCCCCCTCAGACCTTGTGGTCTATAGGGCAGATGATGTAAAGGTCATCTGATTCTGTGGCTTATGGTTAACCAGGGTGTCATGTGGCCAGCACAATGACCAACTCCCTTTACTTTTCCCCAACTAATGTCAGGTACCCATTAGAGCTGGGTGGACTCAGAGGCGCCAGAAGATCCTGAATTAAAAAATCCCAATCTTCACCAGAATTCGAACCCCGGTTAGGAAGTCAAGCCCTTTACCGGTCAGTCACTGCGCCTCCCACTATTCATATGTGGAGGCACAAAAAGCAGAGCCATGACCTAAGCATCCCCCCTTGGTCCCTCCACCCACTTGAAGACAGAAATGATCTTCATTGAATGCCAAATATGTTGCTGACATAAATTATGATGAAAAATCTATTACAGTCACTCATAGCAGGTCATTCGATGGAGGACTCACAAACAAGTTGCCTGCCCAGCTTCCCACCTTGCCTATACCTAAAGTCTATAGGACCAATACGTCCCTGTTCTCTTCCCTTTTGTTTTCATAGCTACCTGTATTATTTACGAGTATTTGAACACTGTAAGTACATTTCAAAAAATTAATTTTAATGGCTGCAACAGGGCTGGTCTTAATTAGTTGGGAGGCCCAAGTGAATTTGGTGTCCCCAAAGGAAAAATAAAAAATCAACAGCGAAAAAATACAATAACACAATTTATTAAAAACCTAGTGTACAACAATAGCGTTGGTCAAAAGTCTTGCTATTTCTTCTCTAAAAATATTGTTATGGGTCCATTAATCAGGGGCTCTAAGTGGCTGCCTTGTTTGCCTATGCCTAAGGCGGGCCCTGGCTGTGATCATTGGAAGCCTTTGAGCTAGGAAAGGAAGTTTTGTTTTATTACATTGGCTTGTGCTGGTATATGAGATAAACCAAAATTAAAATTGAAACTTACTCAACAGCGTTCCTAGTAAAGCATCCAAATTATTAGACATGGAGTTGGCTTCTTTTGGTGCCATAGGTTGAGCTAAAAATTGATTTAGCTAAAAAAAAATGAAACAAAAAACATTTATATAAAAATGCTTAAATTTCAAAATCAAATTTCAAAATCTATTTTAGATATTATCCCTAATATAAAACAAAAGCCAATTGAAGACTTATAAATTGACTAACTTATATAATGTATA